ATTGATGTTTAAGAGCACCTGCAAGTAAAAAATGTTATTCCTTCCTAAAAATTTTTGTTGTAAGTACCACGGAACTCTCACAACCCTTATATATTAATAATAATAATTAAATCACAGGTTAGAAAGAGAATGGATTGGAATGAAATTATTTCTGCTGCATTAACCTTGAAGTCAAACTTGTTCATTTCTCATGTTTTCATTTTCCTGGAGTAAGAGTGAGAAAAAAAGTTTCTGTAAAAGAACAGTTGTTTTCATACATATAACAAACACTATGCTGGATCTCATAATACATTGTCTGGTGTTGTTTCAATTTCTTCTAATGGCTTTATGCAACAATTCAGAGCCTCTCCTTGATTAGAATAGATTCGTAGTAGTAGAATTTTAAAGGCCAAATTAAAGTATCAAGCAGGTATTTTCAGTGGCTGCTGCTGAAGGCATGCCAGACACTGTGCATGTCTTCTTGAGGCACAGATGACCTCAGAGAGGCACATAATACTTAAATACTCTGGAAGACCAAGGGAAAATCAATCAGTCTGAAAAGCAATATGGGATAGTGCAAATATGAATAATAGAAAAGAAGCATGGACATAGGTTTTCAAAATCTGTTAAAGAACATTTTTCTAGTGGAATGATTAATGTTTGCTTGCTGCTACAGCTTTTAATTTATTCCAGCTTTGTCAGACTCTTGCAGTGTGGGTTGTTCTATTGTTTTTTATATGTACTCTTACACTGCACTTATTGTCATAATACCTGAGTGTCTTATGGTAGGTGCATTGAATAATTAACATCCACTGCATATTTGTGCTGTCAGCTTCTCCCAAGGAGGCAAGTGTGTGTGAGAGAGGGTTTTTTTTCAGGCAATTAAAGCAATGCACAGGCGCAGAGCAATATGTGTTAGAGAGGGCGCGTTCTGAGAAATATGGCTTGTAATTAGAGAGATCTGATGATTCTTTAGTTCTTGTAGTAGGGCTTTTAATGTTTTTGTTAGCTGTATTTTCTGTACATTTGGGTGTTTTGCAAAAGGATGAAGCACCATTGTCTCATGAGAGCATATTTGTATAAATTTTAGCTTGTATGTGTGAATGTAGAAATGGTGGATGCTTATTTAATAGGTTTGCTATGAAATCAGTAGAATTACAATGGGAATTGGAAGGAACTCCTATACTGTTCTCTGTACAATTTATAACTCATTAATTGTTGCAGTCTTACGGTGCCAGTACTCTTTAAATTATTTAAAGTTCTTCTGTAGGAAGTAAGTATATTTTCTTGATATGCATTCCATTTTCTCTCTCTTTTTTTCCTTGTTTCATTGTTCCCTCTGTCCTTGTTAATCAGATGGTTGTATTGACAGATTAGCCAGGGGTGATACACGTTTTCATGATTGCTGTTTCGGGGAATCAAGCTATTTACTGGAACCTGTGCTCATGATAAATTCTCCTGTAAGTAACCGCCTGACCAATTTCTATAGCAATTGCCACTGTGGATGGAATAGAGGACAGCCCTTGCCATTGAGAATGAAATCTGTTTAAGTGTGATGTAGGAACCTATCCAAACCTGTTCTGGATTTTATTCTAACTACATTAAAAATAAAGAGCAGATTATCTCTCCCTTGATAGATTCCACTCTTCACCATTTCTTCTTCTGACTGACATTACAGATGATTCCATTTGATCATAGTTAATATTAGTGGAATGTACTTGTATCCAATTACCAATGTTTTGCAATACCAAGTAGAAAGGAATAGCAAATTCTGTGATCAGTTGTTTGCCTTATCCCTATGAGACTGCCAGTCAGAGCCTGGAATCTGTCTAATTTTGTTTCTTTAGCTAATGAACAAAGATGCAAAATTTTTATTTATCCGTCATAAGTAAATTAGAACAACTGAAACAGATTTTTTGTTTTCAGTTTTTCTTACAGATAATTGTTTATATTATCATAGAATCTAAGAGTCACAGCCCCAGTACTTCTGTTATGTGCAGTACTGTAAAAACAAAACAAAAATTCTCAGAGCCTACATCAGTATATACAACAAGGAACAAGAAGTGAATTTGTATAAAGAAAAATAAAACTTTCTTTTTGAATTAGGCAATCCTGGCTTTTTATTTATCAACAGAATGGAAAAAAACCCAAACCCAACACACTGAAAACTACACAGTGACAAAGATGACTATAATAATGCTAAACCTTCCTTTATGGGACCCTTGGCTGAGATGCTGTCTCTCAACTCTGTTTATTGATTGCTTTGCTGATTTTTACTGGATGTCGTAGTCTTCACAGGGTAAACATTGCCATGAACAATAATGAAGTAGCTGGATCCTTTCTTATAAACCACAAAATGGCCTTAAGAAGAAATTAAAATAATAAAAAATAATTGTCTAGATTTCCACCTCAGTATGATTTATGAGACTTTTAGGAAACTGACCTTCGATTTTTCACAAGAAAGGGTAGAAGAAACACCTTATTTCTTTTTGAATTATGAATTCCATCTTTCATTAAAACCTCAGACATAATCCAGTTTGTGTACTAAGCTAACAGAACGTAGTCCTCAGCCATTAGTAATTTACAATAATAATGAATCAAAATATGGGCCAAAGTTGTAATGACATTTTAAAAAATGTCTGATGATTTTGGTTGCCTCACAAACGTAAAATTTCTGACAGTCAACCAAATCAAATACAAATGCACTAATCTTGGCCCCCAAAGACAAAGAATTTGATCTAGTCCTTGCACCCTATTCTTCTGTATTTAAATACATATTAATATTCTCATGCTTTATTCAAATTGTGAACCATTATTCAAACCTGCATTCTGCTTTTTTGGTTTGGATTACTCTGCAATGGTTGGTCTTTTTTTTTTTTTATTTTTAATTTTATTTGTCTGACCCCTTTATGCCCTATATTTAACTGTCTCAATTTGTATTGATATCTTAAATTGTTACTGCCTGGACTAACTTGAGATTGTCAAAATAAATTGGAATTATATAACTTATTTCAAATTAAACACAGATTCCTGTAGATGTAGTCCATCTGCTTTGATGCTTTGATTAGCAGTCAGGCTAATTAAATTCTGCTCACTGTATTTAAATTCTTGAATGTATTTTGTTCATGACCATCCTTCAAGCAAGAAGATAATTATCTGGCGAATCTGAAAACATCCTGAGCTATTATTCTGAATTTGGTCTTGGAAATGGCTTCAGATGCTTACACAGGTTTTTGGTTTTGTTTTACTTTGTTTTGGGGTTTATTTTGTAAGACACATTATGTGCTGCTGTTCTGCTAGGTAAGACAATTACATTGAGTGGATGGCTACTGATTATAGTCAATTCAGCAGACTGTGTTTGTGTCTAAATTGCAGCAAGTAATGATCCTTGATTTACATTTAAGGGCAGGGTGAGCCCAAATTGCTCGACTCCTTGCTTCCTCTGCAGTTCCCAGTGGACTGTGAGCTTGCTCTTACGTGTACAAATGTTAAATCAATTCAGTAGTTGACATGACCTAAAAGGCACATGTAATCCAGGACCTCACCATGAGCCTGAATGATACTTATTGGTTGTGCATTTGCAGAAAAACACATTACTTTTTAAAATCATAATTAAAACCAAAATATGCTCATCCAGAAGTTGTTTAAACCAATGAAAGACATTTATATTATCAAAAATGAAAAATGAAGATTGACTTTAGAGGCAACTCTGCCCAATGCTGAGGGAATGTCGTAGGTTAAGAAGGAAGTGAGTTTTTTGGGAGATTGTGGTCAAACCAATCAGTGCTTGGATTTGAATATTGCCACCTAGTTTGGCCACCAAAGTATGGACCACCTCTGAGAACACAGGGAGTTAAAAGCAAGAACTCCCAAGAGAACTCTCTCTTGGTCCCGGTCTGTGAAGGAGCTCAGAGCTCCCCTGCCCAGCCGGGCCTGGGTGGGGAGGGGAAGCCATGTGGCCGGGTGAGATAGGCCGGAGCCTTGGGCAGAGGAGGGGGGAAGTTGGGAAAGGACAGGGAAGTGTTTCAGAATTGCCAAGAGAAAGTTGCTCTTCTGAAAATTGAGTAGTGGATGCAGAGTCTGCTTCTCACAGCTTCTCACATTTTTCAGATTGTCACAGGAAATGTAAGGTACTGCAAGGATGAGATGGGGATATTTTTTTTCCTGTTCTGATGGAAGCTGTTCCAGAGACAAATAAAATGTGGGCAATGAACCACTGAGAGGGAATGCTAGAAAGGCTGTGGTCTCAAAGTCAGACTTTTCTTCTGGAAAATATGAAACAAAGCTCCAGCCCTGATATTGCTCTGGGATCATTCTGTATATTTTGAGTTAAAGCGTTAGCTGTGAGAAAGGAAAAAAGAATGCAAAATCTGGGCTAGAAAGGGGCTGTGTATCTTTTGTCACCTGTTGCCATTGACTGACCAGACTTTCTGATTTTTTTCAATGCCTTCAGAAATGAGGTCTTGATAATAAAAATCAAACTTAAAGAGTCACAAAGGATTTAGGGATAGTGTTTAAAAAACCTTTTGGATTTGTTTGTCTGTATATAAATTTTTAATTCTAAATACCTATTTATTTAAAAGGAAGTATACTAAAGCTTTAGTTCAATAAACTACGTTCACTAAGAGCCAACTTTGACCTACCTAATAAGAGAAATAATAAGGACAATAATAATAAGGAATACATGAGAAAAGTCAGAGAAGGGAAAGAAGGGAAGCTATTTTTTTTTGAATCCTGCTCTTAGCTGATGCATTGACACCAAACTCATCATCACTAGCATAGAATCATAGAATCATAGAATCATGTATCATGGACTGGTTTGAGTTGAAAGGGACAGGTGTGGATGGATGGAATGTAGGAGAATAGAGATAGTGATGAAGGTAATCTCACCCCTAAGGAGTTACAGCTGCACTAATTACCAAGAATTAGCAACAGGCCTGCCCTTAATAGGCCACAGCTAGATCCAGTTAGGATGGGTATTGTAAAAGAGTAGGTTGGGTGGTTAAGAAGTTAGATGGAGTTTGTTGTCTGTGCTGTGAGGAAGAAGGAGTCAGTACTATGAGCAGCTGCCCATAAGAAATGACCAATAAGGTATGGAACTTATTACATAAAATGACAACAGGCAGGGACACCTTCCACTAGATCAGGTGGTTGATGTTCCATTCAAACTGGCTTTAAGCCATTTCAAGGCTGGGACATTCACAACTTGTGAACTGGAAGTCCTCCTGGGCTTTTGGCAGATATATAAAGTTAGAATTTCCATATAGTTATTCTAAATTATGGGCTTTATTTAAGGAAGAAGGAACACTTACATGAAATCTCAGTATATAAGCTGCTTTTGGCACGAGATAAAATTGGTTGTAAAATACTAGTCAGAAGAGATACATGTAGAATCCTGCAGAGTATTCTTCAGTTTGGAATTCTGTAATGGTATTTTATAAGGGTCTTTAGGTGACAGTTTATTTCCCTCAGTTGCCATGTAAATTATGATATTAGTGTTAAGGAGACCCTTAAATTCTTGATATTTAATTTTAAGCAGCTGTTGAAGACCTCAGCAGACACAAATCTTCTTAGGCATCAAGTCCAACTCCTTTAAGTTTAAAAGGAGGTTTATTTTAGATTTCAGCAAAAATATTTATAGACCTTCTATAAAAGTTGCATCAAGAGATACCATCTTTCTTACTGTTACAATTAGTTGCTATTAAGATTACTATTATTAGTTATAACTATCTTTGTTAGAGTTGTAATCATAAATTATAAGAATGTTTTGTAATGCTTTACTGAGCTCTTACATGTATAGAGCTCCCACTGTCATCAACTATTTGCTGTTATTATTGTTATCAATGATTATGATCATGATACATTGAAAAATATTTAAAGAACATTTGGACTCCCCAGCTGAGCTCGCAGCCTCATTTTGCCATGCTTTACAAAAACACACAGCGACAGATTATGCCTCTCTTTCAGTATAAACAGATGTAAAACATAAGATGTTGTTGGCATGATTTGATTAGGAGAGGTATACTTTTAGGTAGTACAAGATTAATTCTTATTTTAGTTGTCTAATGCCATGATTTTAAAAGTGCAAATCACTCTGGCTTTAGTTCTTTTTGGTGTTGTTCCAGAATATAGAGGAAAATTGTTAATGTGGTTTCTAATTTACTTGCTTGAAAATACATTAATTCAGTAAATTGTCTTAAGTTTGACTAGCTATAAAAATCCCTTGGTACAATAGCTAACAGTTTTCAGCAGTTAAGCCTTCAATCAGATGATAGAAAAGTTCTTATCTTGTACTCAAGTGACACAATATGAATTCATTGGAACTGAGTGAGCCTGTGGAGGATCTAACTTAGTGTTGTTATTTGGCAAGTTAGTAACTTTTGTTGTACCTTTTGTGTTCTCAAAGAACATGGACAAAAGTGATTTAACCTTGAATACTAATATCTTTATGGTAACATATTTAGAAGCATAGTATGAAACAGTAGTGATTTGGCATTTTAGATATAAGTCATGCCTAATGAAAACAAGATCCCTTATCACAGGTTGATTACAGAAGATAAGTTGTCTTTCTGACTCCTCATAATATAAGAACAACATCCTCCAAAATATAAATCAAGAAGTATTTCCTTTCTCAGTCCTATAGAAAGTCCTCTCTGAAGGTTTAAAGGAACTTCAAGTTTGATCTGTTTATTTGCTTCTTTTACAATGTCTGTCTCTAGTTTTTTTCCATTTTCATTTCTACCATGCTGTTGAAAACAAACAATTGCAGGTTTTAGCTGATTATTTTTACATCAGGTTGGAAATAATCTATTATTCTTGAGATTGAGTTAAAGTTTTCTGGACTGAGGTAAAATATTGCTTTAATTTAACTTCCTTATTCAGCATGGTCTGGGAAAGTTGCAGGTTGAGAGACTCATGAGAGACACAAAAGCAAAACGCTGCAGTCTGTATAGGGTGGGTAAGACTTGTACAGTGGCCTCCTGCAGGATACACATCTGAGCTCGGCACTGAAAATGTTTCATTTGCATAGACATTCACCATACTGATTACAACAGAAAAGACAACAGGTAATGAAGGTGATAAAAGTCAGTGCTGCTCAAATGAGATCTTGCTTTTAGCCTGCATGAAAGTTCAGCTGGGAGCTTCTGTGGTGGGGCTAGTCTCTGAAAACATTTGTTTCATAAGCATTTTTAGAAAATCTGCATGAAGTGATATAGAAAACCAAAGGAAGTCACAGCTTTATGTTCATGACAGTGAGACAGTACTGTAATTTGAAAATGCTTCCAATAAAATAGGAATGAATGTACTTTCCTTGATCTGACATCTTCAAAACATTTTTTTGGCTACTGTTCTTTACAGATATGCTGTGACATGACACATGCATTTTTGGCGTGTATTGCAGTAGGAACAACTTTATATTTCCTGCAGATTTGCAGCATTCAGGTAGGTACAATGGCTTTCCGTATTCCTTGCTGTCTTTTATTACCTTATCTGGCAGTTGAAAAGAACATCTGGTGTCTGCACATATGGCAGGCTTCAAATATCAGATTCACATAAGAAATCTTGAAGGATATTGGACAAAATGTTTTTCTTTAATGGATGATAACCCTTGTCTCTAAGATTGTTAATGGCAGGAAACTTAGGTATTTCTGTTGTAACAATTCATAGTGACAATGAAACCCACAGACAAATGTGTTTGGCTTCCTCTGTCCTCTGTTAAATGTCTGAAAGTCAGAAGCTGAAATATGATCTAGTCAGCCTAGACTCCCTTGTCAGCCAAGTAAGAAAATTATGCACCTCCTAAGGGAGATTCATTCCTAAGAAGTGTTTAAGATATGTCCCTTGAATTGTCTAGGACTGTGTCTTTCTCCAAGTAAAGGGGCTTTTGGCTTCAGATTTGAATGCAACCTTTACAAGTCTGAAGTTAATTATGCTTAAACCTATCCTTGAGAGCTTCAAGATTTTGATACCTAAAGACAACAGAATCTTCAGATGGTACAAGGGATCATGTGAACAGTCCTTGCCCAAATCATGTCAAATATAGTACAGTTTAAACAGCTGATAAAGATGATTTTATGCTTTTTAAATTTTTTTTAAATTGGAATGAGATAAGGGACTCTCACAGAGAGATCACTAATGCTCTTTTATAGCTGGCAACTGCAATTGGGTGTTGTCTGTAAGAGGCAGTGACTCCAGTGCTTTTTATCTAGTGGGAATGTAAAAAAAAATATATTTTGTGGTAGGGGTGTGTGTGTGCCTGTGCATCCCTACATATAACACACTTGAAATCTAAGAGAACACTATTATACAAAACAAGAACAGTATAAATTACTCAAGTTATTGTGACAGTACTAGCTTAAGGAGGACATTTAAAGGTTCTCTATTGAAACACCCCAAAATTACTCCGGTCAAGGTTAAAGGGTATTGCTACTTTCTCTTTTTTTTTTTTTTTTTTCCTTTTCATTCTCAGGCTGTGCTGCCACAGCCTTGTTTCTGTGAACTTTGGGCACTTGACAGCACTGAGTTCTACAACACAGGTGAATGGAAATATGGGGACTCAGCAATGCTGTAACTGAACTTGTTTTTTCAGCACTAAACATCTGTCTTTCAATTTCATAATGCAAAGGAGGGTCAAAACAAACAGTTACAGAATAAAGTCTCACAAATCACCTCAAGCATGAAATCACAGGAGAAAAGGGGTAGCAGGACCAACCAACTCCCAGCTTTTCATGCTCAGCCCATGTCATGGCACACCCAGCTCTGTGCTTTGGGGTTAGCCAGGGGAATCCCAGCTGTGGTCGATGCTCCCTGTGCCACCCTGCACTTCCTCTTGTGGTGTGTCATGGTGCTAGCACTGGTGCTAGCATATGTCATCTGCCCTTAGCTCCAGAGGAAAATGAAACTGAACAAGTTTTTACTGGGGACTTGCAGCATTGAATGGGGATGGATCCCATTACACCCAAGGCAAGAGATACAACAAAGATAAAAATAAAATCTTTAGTTGGCAGCAGTTTTTTTGACCGCTGCACCTGGTGCCAACAGATTGATTTGAGCGCAGCTTTATCCTGGACAAATCTGTGGAAGATGCATTACCTGCAAAAAAAGGTGAACAGAAGATTTGCAAGTTTAAAAGGTCAGAGGAAGCACAGATCTCTCAGCTGGAATGTGAAGGAACTGATCTAGGTCCAGTTCTTGGGAGAATGGTAAAATTCACTGTAGATTAGATTATGATTATATTAATAAGTAGAGAGGAGTTCTGAATTCAGAAATTAAAACTGCGTTTTCAAAATTCAGCCCAGCATCTGAGCCATCAGACTTTATTTTTTCTTTCGAATTAAACATCTGAAAGCACATTTTATTGGTACCTATGAAAAAAGTTGGTAGCTTTTCCATACTTTTCCATTATAAAGAAATGGTGAACACAGTTGATATTTCATGTTTATTTTCTCAAGATGTTTTATCCTTGAATATATGTCTAGGCTTTATGGTAAAGTAAGATATTAAATAACACAGGATCAAAGTCTTCAGTATTTGTTCTGTATCAGGGGAAAATGCTATACTGACATAAAAAGTGAACTTTATTTTTATACATCTGTCTATCTTATTGTTCTGCTTATAACACAGACTGTTGAAATGGAAATGGCACCAAGTCTAATGTTCAAAAATCAAACTAAAGAAAAGGAATTTTTTTTTTTATCAAGACCTAACAGTCTCCTAAGAGATATTATGGGTTTTTAATCATGTTTCATGGGTTTCTCTTTTTTTTTCCATCTAATTTTGATTTTAGAAACTCTGAGCTGAGAACATTTGAAAATCTTCAGTTCTGTTTATGTTTCTTCTTAAATCACTGTAAAAACCTTTGGCTTTAGTTGTCACAATAATGAATAAATTAATTATGGATTGCTATGAAGTATGAGTGCTAGTACAACTGTTTAGAATGTGATAAAAATCTTTGTTCACCTTTTCAAACAGAAAATACAGCGTGTATTATAACTTCAATAGCAAGTGAGTATATTTAATGTTGAGCTTCCTTGAGATTACTGCAGTGTTATCTTTTTTTGACATTAAGCACCATTTTAAGTCAAAAAATAGTTTTCTTCAGAAGTAATATGTTAGTATTTATATTACCATTAGCATGTTTAAATGAAGGGCATTTAGATTTATTATTAGTAAATGAAAATACTGCTAAATTCACATTAATATTAGTCTTAGAATCTTATATTTAAAATAATCTGTAACATCATTATATAAAGGAAATTCAGTTTTAATATGTCAGAGAGTTTTATCATCTTACAGGCAGCCCTCCAAAGTTAATAATGTCAGGAAATATGAAGTGTTTTTGGCTATAAGATTAGACTTTTTATTTGGGAAAAGGCTTTAATTTTCATTTCAAAAGTAGATTTCATGCCCCATGAAATTTAAATGGTGACATTTAGAAAAAGTTCAGTTTATTATAATATAGTGAAAATTATAGTGTACATGCTTCTTGCTCAATCCATCAAGACTGCTTCTGGAAAGACCAGGAATCATTCTGCAGGTAAAAGAAAAAAAAAGTGAATTCTCTAAATAATCACTTTCACTAATTGTTCATCCTCAGGAAGCATATAGCCAGGCAGAATTATTTACTTCCTTAATTGTATTGACTGGAGTTGGGAAACAAAACTTTGAAATGCATTTAAAACTTTTCTTTTTATTTAATGACACTTTTTTACTTGAGAGGTTTAACTTCCATTACAGAAATTCCAAGAACACCTGACAAAAATTAGACAATGCTGGTCACTCCTTATTAGACATGACTGAGCAATGCTGTGATCCCGTATCACCTTTCAAGAAGTGGGAGTTGTCTTATGCAAGAAAGATTTGTACATATGCTTCTTTGTAAAAAAGTTAACGGAGAAGAGTCGCTTATGTTTGAAAATACGCAAGTGAAGCCTTCTAGACCGATGCTCAGAATCTCTATAGGCATGTCTTGATGTTTATAATTTCATAAGAGAGGTGAACATTAAAAAGACTGAAGCAAAAGTGCTTTTGTTATGTGCACCTGCCATAGGTCATCTCTGCAGGACTGGAGCGCTGACCCCAGCAAAATTGTGGCCAGTCCTCTGTGCAGACAGAGAGCAGTGGAGACAAGATGCAGGAAATCAGCTCTGTGGGTGTGCTAATTTTGTCTGGGATAGAGTAAATTTCCTTCACAGTTGTCTTTTGGAGTGGTACTGAAAACAGTGTTGATAGCACAGGGATGGTTTTGTTGCTGCTTTTGCAGAGTCAAGGCCTTTTCTCTTTCTCTTACATTCCACCAAGGAGTTGGGAGAGACACAGCTGGGACATGTAACTACATCTGACTGAAGGGATCTCCCAGACTTTATGGCATCATTTTCAGCATATAAAGCCTGGGGAAGAAGGAAGCAGGAAACATTCAGAGTGGTGGCATTTGTCTTCTCAAGTAACTGTCACACATGACGGAGCCGAGCTCTGGAGATGGCTGAACCCCGGCCTGCCATGGGAGATGGTGAATTAATTTCCTGTTTTACTTTGCATGCATGCACAACTTTTGCTTTTCCTATTAAACTGTCTTTATTTCAGCCCATCAGCTTTTTCCCTTTTACCCTTCTGATTTGCTCTCCAGTCCTGTTGGTGGAGGTGTGAGTGAGTAGCTCTATGGTGCTCGGTTGCCAGCTGGGGTTAAACCACAACAGCAGGCTGTCTTCAAGTACCATTGACGAAAAAAAGATTTGTTGTAAGGAGGGAACAGGCCAATTTACTGCCCTTCAAGTGCCCTGGCTGCTCTTCACAAAGAGGTGGGTAGTAAAAAGCAGCCATCCCTTACATTCCCCGGTTGCCCTGTTAACAATACATTTTTGTTAAGCATGTAGTAGCAATACAGCTGTGACCTGTGATTCATTAGTTTTGTAGTTGGAGAGATATATATGAATCCTACTGCTTCAGTTAGTATCAGCCAGAAACTGACCATTAATTTCATCAATCAATGACTGAGCCTCATGGACTGGTTACAATTAGTGTTAACTAAATGGTGTATAACAGCATGTATAAGCCCTGGCAGATGTTGTGATTCTCACTGGGCTTTGCTTCTTTTTAAAGGACCTGCATATGTCTCAAAGAACTTTTTGATATAAATGAGGGTGGAAAAAAAAAGAGAAATGTGAAAGAATAGATATCTCCATATTAAAGCAAAAGTTCAAGACCCAGAACCAGTAAAGAATCTATTCAGCTGCACCCTTCCCAAACCTTTGGTAGAAGTGTTATAAAAAGAGATTTCTATAGAATCATAGAATGGCCTGGGTTGGAAGGAATCTTAAAGACCATCTAGTTCCAGCTTCCCTGCCATAGGCAGGGACACCTTCCACTAGACCAGTTGATCAGATTTCCAGCCTTGAACACAACTTTTGTGTGAAATCTCTTCCAGTGCCTCACAGTAATGAATTTCTTCCTAACAGTCAATCTAAACCTAGATGAGAGGAGAAAACAGGTGACAATGAGGAAAAAGTAATGATTTCACTGAATAAAATACAGAAACTGAAGAAACTGGAACGTAGTGGATGTAGAAACTGCAGATCAAATGGGGGGAATTTGCTATGTTGGCTTGTCTTGCTAGTTTAGGAAGAAGCTTTAGCACTATTTAGGAATTTACAATTTGATGTATTCTCTGTAAACCATCCTGTAATTTTGAGAGAATCAGTTCAATAGAATATGTTTGCTTACCAAGCTCCCAAAGGAGGAAGGAATGTCCTGACAACACTTTGAAGTTTTCCTCAGTTTGTGAAGACAGTTATTTTATCAAGTGTAAGAAAGAAATCAGGGATCTGAAAATAGGGATAAAATTTACAGGCATAAAACTTTTTCCAAGAAATAAGATAATATAAAGTGACTTTTAATTCCTAAATATGGAGAACCAGAAAAGTTGCCAGTCTAATGTACGAAGTAGTGGATAAGTGGGTAGTGGGAAGACTTTACTGGTAGGAATAAATCATGTCTGTGTATAGATTACCTGTTTCACCTCAGGTGTTAATATTTAAGGATCCAAATTTTCCATACAATTAAACAAGGCTGCAAGAAGAATGCAATCTTACACTCTTGTCTGGACACGAGCTGTACTCAATGAGCCCCACAAGTTAAGATGTTCAGTAATCCGGTGTGCTTAAAAGGTTTTATTAAGAATAATTCTGGAAGTATTGATTAATTGATTACAAGATAAGATTTAGAAGTGCTAAAACTCTTTGCCAATCCCTTTAGTTTATTCAAAAGGCAGTCTAGCTTCCTATCCTCTGGATTTAATCTTATACTGTATCATTCTCAAGTTACAGAATAAGTGTTTTGAGATGATCTATTTCTCTGGATATGATATGCCATACTATCTGACATAGTGGCTACTACAGGAACTGCCCTTCTTATTTGATTTCCACATCTCAATTGAACCAGAGCAGTGAAGTGGTCCAGAAGCAGATGGTGCTGTGCAATGCAGATGATCCAGCTCTCCAGGGTTCCGTCCATCACGGTTTTTTATTGTCTCTGACTCTGGGAACTGAATCAAGGTGGTGAACACCTTCCTTGTGTAAAGCACTATCTGTTTTGTATACTTCTGTTGTCAATATTGTTGCTCTGTGCAATATTCCACTGCATTTCAGTAAATGGTTATTTCAACCCATAGTCTCTGACTCTGTCCCTCTCTCACCAGAGGGGGTGGGGGGGAATAAGAATGACTTGCTTGAACTTTAATTTCTAGCTTTATTTATAATACTTTGTATACAGAGGCAAAGAGATTAAATATCTCTCCATTAGTGTTATTAAGATATCCTTATTCATCTCTTTTGAGTATTTGTTATTTAATTGCTTCTGAAAAATGTATATTGTTTCTGTTAAGAATCAACACTTTAGTTGTACATTGTTTCCATGTTATGATCTAAAATTTTAAGAGATTTTTCTATCATCCTAAAAACTGCTCCCTGTGGACTTACTATGGCCTTTCCTTCTACTACAGAAGAATCTAGCTGAAGCATAGAGTGCAAGAGGAATTTCAAGTCTCTCAGCTTGGTCTCTTTAAAATAAGAATTTTACCAAGTATTCTGTGTACCAAATATTTGTACAGAACAACACAATGTGTGCTACCTGTGTGCTCTACGTGCTCTTTATAAAAAGAGGAAAAAGGGACCAAATTTATTGTATCTATCCCCCAAACATCCTTAACTGAGTTTTCTGTTCAAGAAGGCTGCTTTGCCAAAAAAAAAGGTGTTTTTTGAGCAGTATGTGTTTTCTCTCTCATTTTATTATGTTTTCACTCTTGATAGAAAACGATCACTTTTCTTATCACTTTGGGAAATGAATTCCTTTTAAGCACAGATTAATACAATATTGATAAAAGCCATTGTTATGTATATGTCTGTAGTGAACAAAAGTAATTTTGTTCCTCTAGACTTTTTAAAGCTGCAGCATTATTGGCTGTCTAAGTCTCATTGATTTGCCTTGTGTAAGCATATGGAGCTTTTTGTAAGTAATGAAATGCTAGGGTTCAGTTTGGTGCATCTTTCATTAAATCTGCAGTGATGAAATCTCTTTAATAACGTGTATGACATTGTTTTCCCCTCCCCCAACTTTCATCTGGGATGGAGATGTAATTGAATTGCTTTTCTTTCATATTTTATATGGACAGGTAGTAAAATCCATTATATTTTTAAGACCTTGTGAAATTCAACTTTCTTGTCAAGTTAGAAACTTGCTTTTATATATATATGTATATTTACTGTGAGGAAATATAAAACAGATCAGAAAAAATAACTGTTCAAACATTGAATTAGTAGCGGAACTAAAGAGAGTAGATCAAAAAGACAAGGAAAGTAATTTTCAAAAAAGCACAGACTCAGTCCTCAATCCCAAAACTACTTGATTTTATGGATAATTTATAGAAAAGAATAATCTATCTGAAGATCATGGGATGATTGTTGTAAACAAAATTGAAACTTTCCTTACAATGAAATGAATGAGTGTGGCTACACAGAAAAAGAAATCTCTAAGCTTTGTTTTAAAAATGGGTAATAATGAATCTTTTTTTTGTTGTTGTTGTTATTGGGCACTTGTAATATAAACAGCATTATGTTAAAACATTCAAGTTGAATTTATAAAACAAGATTGAGTCTTGGCCAATACTTTAGTACATTAATCATGTGGTACAGAGAACCAGAACTGAAAAGAAGGGAGGCAACTGTGCTTTGTACTGCTCAGAGAAGTATATATTAGTTCAGAGAAAGTGTTTTGTTGGGTAAAATATTTGAGCTTAAACTATAGCTATGTCGATGATATTGATAAATTGCAGATAAAATTTAAAAAGTCTTTTTTCATGGAAAAAATAAATACATAAATAAAACTGTCTCTTTAAATATTAATAAGGTCAACTTATTAAGCCTGACACTGTCTTTACAGTGTAGCACACTTTGCTACTTCAGGTAAGGATGCTATGCTTAAAGATTACTTTAGTGCTGTCCAATGTCAGAACTTTTGTGTCCATTTTAAAAATTAGAAAAAACTCCTAAAGGAAAGTCTGTCTCTACACTTTCCTTCTATCATATAAGACAGAGTTCTATATTTCAGCTACACATTGACACTTGAATTTTTCAAAGCCACTAATTGTATACCGTAGCATAACTTACTACCTATCTCTGATGGGTGTAGCATATGGATCCAGTTCTTTATCTCCCTCTAGTTTGAATCAACTTATTGTTCCAGTATCTTCAAATATAAATTCTCTGGTCTCCTTTTCTGCTAGTTACAAATTCATTTATGTGATACGGGTCTGAAAAGAATGGACTTGTAAACTGTTGTACATTGAAGTGAAGGAAAAGCAGCTGTTGTGGAACTATGGTTTCAACAGGAGCAAATGGCACTGTGTGATGCAGCACAGCTGAACTATTAAAGAGGTTGTTTACAGGTGTCCTTCAGTTAGATGAAATATTATGAGGCAAATGGTTTGCCCTCAACAGAGTATGTATGTGTTACTAGATAAAGAATTGTCAGGGACAGGAGCCACCACTGCCTTCACTGCTTAAATGTCAGCTTGGACTGGCTCTCTCCAAAGTAACACTTGCCTACAGGGATCTAAATCTAAGCAATATGGGTACAAATCAGATGGTGTCACTTTGCTTAGGATTATCCCTTGCTCTTTTACTGCTTATGGCTGTAGATAGCCCCTTATAACTGATGCTGGAGACATTTCCAGTTGAAAACCTGTATGACTTTCTTTCTAGGATGATAAAGGACAATCCAGTAGGCATCCTTTCTTGACAGGATGATAAAGGACAATCCAGTAAGCATTAGTAAGTGAAGGACAAAAGCATGGACATACCCATACAAAGTCTGTATTCTTTAAATGGTGTTTGGTGTATGGAGAGAGGATAAGCAATCAGTCACTCTCCCAGTTCCTTATTTTGTGTGCTTGAGGCCTGAGATCAAATTAATCAGGGAATTATTGTAATCTAGGGACTGATAGTCTGTATCTGCTCTATGATACCACAGCCCTGTTACCTACAAAATGGCAACTATTTTTTTAAAGGGGCCTCCTAGAAATGTGATTTATCTGAAGGTAGAAGCATGCATTTTGTATGTCTCTATAGATTATAATCTTGTTTTATATCTTTGTAACAGTCAGCATATAGCCAGCATAGATATTAGTTCAAAAATTAGTCCAAATACTTTGAAACATTTAATAATTACAAAGTCTTCTCTGTAACTTTATAATGGTGGTACATAATAGCCCTGATTAAGGTTTAGAGTAATTTCAACTGTTTTCAGAATTTTTCCACCACTAGAAACTCACAATTTTTCCTATACACGCTTTTCTTTTAACCACCTGAACAGTTATTATAACAGCCCGAGTTCTTAAGTTACCCTCCCTGCTCCCCACTGTTACTTTGCCTTTCCAGTAAGCTCTCTTCAGAGACATATGAATAGCACCTATAATTCAGCCTCTTCTAAAAGAACATTTAATTAATTTCTCAGTATTTGTATCTACTCATGACATTTATGTACTCTGCTGTTGTTCACTTTTCTCTTGTTTGCTTTATTGCTTCTGTGCAGGTTTTGGAGATTTCTTCTATCTCTTGTGTGATGGAAGGCCACTTAGTATGCATTCCCTTTTCTTTCTTGTTTTTTTTTTTTTTCTTTAATCCTAATCTTTTTTCCACATATAAGCCACTTATCTGAAAAGATTGAATGTATTTTTCCTGAACATAATACAATATAGCTTTCTTGTACTCTGAAGGAACACTGAAATGAAGCAACCTGATTAAAAAAGGAAAGAAAGAAAACCAGTCTATGCATAGTTGAAAAAGCATCATTAAAATAGTCTTTAAAAAACAAAATTACAATTCAATTTTTTTAACCTGAAACAATTTTATTGCGATCAAAAAGAAAAGACCCATTATTAAGGCATTTAAAGATCTGCAGCTTTTATTATTTTATTTTAGAGACACTGTAAGCATGACACAG